GAGTAAGATCTAAGCTCTTATATTCGAATATGACAAAGAAAAGTTCTTTCAGTTCTTTATAATCTCAAGTCTCTCAAGGCTATATTCAATTTAATCCTGCCCACTCCTTATTCTTAAGTACTACATACAGAGTTACCCACAAAGAATAAGACTTCAAAGACGACTGTACGAAACTTTTTAGTTAAAATTCATGGCTCCCTATACGTGTAAGCTCGGATCTTACTTTGCCAAATCATTTTGTATTCCATGAAGAATTCATTTGAACAATATCATGAAATTATATTTTCAAATCATCCTAGTTCTTCTATTTCAACCCGCCATTAAAGTCTCATACATAGTGGGTAGCCCTATAGTGAATAGTTTTTATACATAAAAACATTAAAGTGGATCGGATAGAATTAATTTTTAGCCAACCAACCAAACCAAGATTAATGAATTCTAGTGCATACATTTGGTAACAAATACCATTGCACATAAAGTTTTAAGTACGAAACATAGGGACTCACACAATACGAAAACTCTTCTTCACTTAATACAGAAGTTCAACTGCATACAAGTGAGCTTTATAATTACAAATAATACACCTTACGTATAGTAGGTCAAGATAAAAAAATCTTTTTTCGTTGGAATCTGGTACAAACGGGAAAATATAAACTACAGTCATGTTAAACAATCATAAATAAAACAATGATTAAGTTTATAATGTTTATTTCCTGAGAAAAGAACTAGGTTTTTGGGGGTGCAAGGTCCCCCTGCGAACATACAATATTCCATACGCACAGGAGGAACCCGCGCACACAAACTGAATTAACAATATGAGATCAATTGCTTTAAAACGACCTATTGAGGGAAATGAGGCCTTTCATTTAACATGAATTCAGATTAAAAATGAATCTTAATAAATGTTAATTTAGTGAAAGAAGATAAATTATTAATTATTAAACAATGAGACACACATTCAACGTCTACTTCACGACAACTGGATGAATTTTCTAAGTTTCAGTTCTAATAGTAATAATAAAAAATATTAATATTTGAATTGTGAAAAGCAAGATAATCTTACATCTACGAATGCGGAGCAATGTTTGCTATACAATATTTTGAGTGATAGGTTCGACTCCGACCCTCATCCAACCCAGCCGCTCATGCATTATAGTTAAACAGTCTTCATTATCCTGCAGCGGGTTGACAGAGAGAAGAATACGAACCTTACAAAATCCTAATGATACAGGATGAATTGAAAGATATCCCCCCCTCGGTGAGGGCATGATGTGGGATCAATGACTCGGGAGGTAGGAAAGTTCCTGATTTCCCGCCCCGGGAAGTTTCACAGCTAGGGGAAGGCGGGTAACCTGGAGAAGGTTTGGGACGGAGAGATCAGCTGGGGATATCACGTGACAGCTGTCTGCTGGAGAAAGAGTTCCGTCGCTAAAATGGTCCGAGGGAGAAACAGAACACACACATGGAAATCAGAACGAATTTTTTTTTTGGATGATTTTTGGTTTGTTTTAAATTTTTTTATATTTTTTTCTGCACGTTGATTTTTTCACTGAGTGGTTTAGTGTTAGGTACTGTACACATTGGGACACATAAACTACTGCTGATTGACGAACAGTAGAGTTAAGGGAGATGGAACGTGAGTCGGGTTGAACCTGCTAGTTTAGCAGAACCCGGAGTAAGAGTAATCCCCTCCCCTAGGAGTGTATAACCAGGAGAGCTGGGATGGATTTCTCTTGTTTAATTGAACCCGACCTGGCAGAGGTCGGAGTATGTATTGGCAGGGGGAGTACGACAGTCTTCATCACTGTCATAGAAGTTTCTCATCTTGGGAGTAAACCCCATTTGCAGTCTTCTCACAGCCTCTTTCAGTAGGTTACCCTCACTGAAAATAAAATAAAATTATTTAACGGAAACTATCAAAAGTTGAAAATGATGAGATTAAAATTTGTTAATATAAATCTGTTTTCAGGATACAATTTGAAGAATCAATAATAAAAAAAATGTTCCAATAAAACACGTAAATTATTACCCCCCCCCCCCCNACTGATGTAATATTTGTTTTATTCCCAACAAATATTTAGTCTGAGCATTTTATTGCTGTCAAATGTCATAACAGTATTTTTCATGTACTAGAATGGGAAGAAGGGGGGGGGGATAGAGGGGATCCAGATATCTTATACTTGTAACATTGTAGGCCTAGTGTCTTTTTTCATGATTTCATCTCACTTAAAAACCAGAAACTGAAAATGAATAACGTTTTGAAAATCAATTCTTTACTACATACTTAATGCACGTAAATGTAATCAGATACATATGATTTTTTTTCTTTAAATTAATAAAATGATAAAATTACTACGATCTGGAAAAATCATCACTTAAAGATTTAAGAAGCAGGCTCTGTTTGTCTTGTCTTGTCAAATAGTCACTCAACTCTACTGTATAGTGTATATTCTAAGTACATTTGTACAGTTTGTACTCTATAAACTCAACACAAATAAAATACATTAAATGTTTACAATAGCCTTTAGCCTTGAGAATTGAGAAAGTTTAAGATAAAAATATTTTTTTTTTTAAACTAAACTAACTAAAGTATAATAAAATTTCTACAAATTTCCTGTGATACTGATTTTCGTCATGCTTTCTTTCTTTTCATTCTGCAGGGGGGGGCGCGCCCCCCCCTCTCAGGTGCTAGGGGAGGGCGCGCGCCCGGCCGCCCCCCCCTAGTTGCGCCTCTGCAGGGGGGGGGCGGATATGTATATATTTTGCATATTCTTTTAATTAATAGCTATATTAATCTACATACTTTTTGTAATATTCTATTTATTTTCCGATCATTTATATATAATTGTGTTAAAGTAGCTGAAAACTTTAGAATGGTGGATATCGAGATCAATGCTTTATCTTGTCTTTTTCTTAATCTCTAGATTAAATAATGCTTGTTCTCCTCTTGTAATTAATCTCCATGGATTAATTAACCGATCGTGATTAAGGGTATTCCATTCTAAATGTTTTCAGCAATTGCATGTCTCTGATAATACGTTTTGAACGCTGCAATTTGTTTAAGAAGTTATAGAAATTATTAATAATTATAAGATCATTATATGATTTTGTGGTTGCTATGGAAACGCCTCAACACGGAATCGGACCCCACAAGAAAAGAAACCTCCCCAAAAGGTGCTCATGGAAACGCCTCAACACGGAAACGGACTCAAAAGTGAGTTTGGGTCCGTTTCCTTCTTTTTCAAGAATTATCGGAAATCCCTCAAAAACTATAAAGTGTTGAGAGATTTCCGAATATTTTGGGTCGGTTTCCGCTATATTTACATTTGATTCGTTTCCCATTTTTTTGGGTCCGTTTCCGATTTTCAGAAAAAGTTGTAAATTCTCAGTTTGTTGATCAGTTTCCACTTTTTTTGGGTCCGTTTCCTCTTTTTTTTTGGGTCCGTTTCCGGTTTTCAAAAAAAGTTTCAAATTCTCAGTTTGTTGATAGGTTTCCCCTTTTTTGGGTCTGTTTCCTCATTTTTTGGTTAATTTTCAGGATGTATATCAAAGTTTTGGTTTTAGTTGGGTTTGATTTGCATTTTCCACTCATTTCTGGCATTTCCAAACTCCCCCTTGTAATTGGCTTCATTTCCTAACTTCAGCTTTCACTTTGTTTTATATTCTTCATTATAGTCATTCATTTCACATTAACTACAAAAATCTGTTAAAAAACTGAATTTATTTTAAGTAAAATAAAAAATAGTTTTACTCTAAGTGGAAAAGGATGTTACTTTTTTAAATCTTTAGAAATGCTACTCTGTAAAACTTTGAAAAAATATTGTCTTTGTTTATATTCTAATTTCCAGAGGCGCAACTAGCACTGCGGGGGGGGGGCAAAATATTATTTTGTAATGGTTTGGGGTGTGGGGGGGGCCTTGCCCCCTTTTAAAATTTTTTTCAAGATAAAAGTGCTTTTTTAAGTATTTGACGTCGAAAAAAAGGAAATTATCAGTTGCAGATTTGGTGTTCAATTCAAATCTTTTTTTTCTTGTGTTTTTTAACAATTTATACTTTCAACTACTGTAAAATTAACGATATGAGTCATTCAATTCTTTTCATGTGTGCGCCGAGCGCCAAAGAAAAGTTGTTAATTACCTTGTTTAATTGCAGATATAACTACAAGAAATAATCATTTATATATTCTAAAAAAATTACGACAAAATACATATATAATTTAATCATCTACATTGAAAAAGGACAGACAATTTTACGTTTTCTCTTGAAGTTATTGAATTTATGATTGGTCATTCTATCCAACATTTATAATCTTATTTCATTTTCGATTTTATATAAGTTATATAAAAAAAACAGTTATCAAATATGATTATCAGTTAGAAGTTTGCCACGCTCAGTCTCAGAATGTTCTCTAGATTTTGCCACAAACCCAAATATTTTAATCCCTAAATCTTTGCACCGCGTGGTGTAAACCTTTGATATTTCAAACTTAGAATATTTTACCAAAATAATTCCAAGTTTGAATACAGTTTGGAACTTTTTAAAAATAAATTCTAGGGGGGGGTAATTACCCCCAGGATTCTAGGGTGGGGGGTAACTACCCCCAGGATTATAAGGGGGGGGTAACTACCCCCAGGATTGTAGGGGGGGGGGGGAAATAACCCCAATAACCCCCCTTATTTACGCCACTGCCGGGTAACTTCTTGTAATTGGATGAAATGTTCTTGAAGGATTTTCAGCATTTTTACTTTTTCTCTTTTACTTTTGATACAACTTTTTATCTTAAACAAAAATGTGTTCTGCATTATTTTGTTTAATCACATTGGGGGTTAAAACAAAGAAAAGACCAAAATGTTAATTGGTAAACCCAAAAAGCTCACACAACTCAAGGATGATCATTCTAGGTAATAAAATAGAAAGAGCTAACTCCAACATGAACCAGTTCGAAGCGTAAAGCAAAACTTATGAGTTGAAGCATTTTTCGATATGTCTTCTTTATACAAATTCTAGGGGGGGGGGGGAAATAACCCCAATAACCCCCCTTATTTACGCTTGGTTATTATTGCTTAGTTGATGATTTGGCAGAAATTGACAGTATAAATTTCGTACAATCGTGTCTGAAATCTCATCCTTTGAGGGTAGCCATGTATTTCCTAAAAGTTGCAGGAAATGTTCCGAACAGATTTTAGGAACAGTTTTGACCCAGATGGAGATGAAAACTCCAATTAAAGCCAAAACCGTAATATTTTATTTTAAACCAGATACTAATGAAAATTAATCGAAATTCGAAAATAATGAATTTTTTCTGAAAACCGGAAACTGACCCAATAAATGAGGGAACCGATCAAAAAAGGGTACAAACCAATAAAACTGGGATATTAACATTTTTTAAAAACCGGAAACGGGCCCAAATAAAGAGGAAACCTACTAACAAACTGAGATTTTAAAATTCTTTTTTGAAAACCGGAAACAGACCTAAAAAAGGGGGAAACCGATCAACAAACTGAGAATTTAAAACTTTTTATTAAAACCGGAAATTGACCAAAAAAATGAGGAAACAGACCCAATAAAAGAGGAAACCGATCAAAAAAACTGAGATTTTAAAACTTTTTTTGAAAACCGGAAACGGACCCAAAAAATGAGGAAACGGACCCCAAAAAAAGAGGAAACCGATCAAAAACTGAGATTTTAAAACTTTTTTTCAAAACCGGAAACGGACCCAAAAAATCATGAAACGGACCCAAAAAAAGAGGAAACCGATCAACAAACGGAGAATTAAATTTTTTTTTTGAAAACCGAAAACGGACCCAAAAAATGAGGAAACGGACCCAAAAAAAGGAAACCGATTAACAAACTGAGAATTTAAAACGTTTTTTTGAAAACCGGAAACGAACCCAAAAAAAAGGAAACGGACCCAAAAAAAGTGGAAACTGATCAACAAACTGAAAATTTACAACTTTTTCTGAAAATCGGAAACGGACCCAAAAAAAGAGGAAACGGACCCAAAAAAAGAGGAAACGGACCCAAAAAAAGAGGAAACCGATCAACAAACTGAGAATTTACAACTTTTTCTGAAAACCGGAAACAGACCCAAAAAATGAGGAAACGGATCGAAAATATTGGGAAATCCCTCAAAAATATTGGGAAATCCCTCAACAATATAAGACTCTGATAAACCGGAATCCGACCTAAAAATCGAGGAAATGGATCAAAAAAAACCTGAAGTTCCTCTAAAAATTGGATTTGAGGGATTTCCGATAATTTTTGAAAAAACAGGAAACGCCTCAAAAAAATTCATTTTGGGGAGGTTTCCGTTTTTTTTGGTCCGTGTTGAGGCGTTTCCATAGCAACCCCCAAAATGATTTTTTTGGAGGCATTTCCTGTTTTTTTTTTCAAAAATTATCGGAAATCCCTTAAATCCAATTTTTAGAGGAATTTCCCGTATTTTTTAATCCAATTCCCCAATTTTTAGGTCGGATTCCGATTTATACAGATCTTATATTTTTAAGGGATTTCTCAATATTTTTCAGGGTTTCCCAATATTTTCGATCCGTTTCCTCATTTTTTGGGTCCGTTTCCGGTTTTCAAAAAAAGATGTAAATTCTCGAGTTTGTTGATCGGTTTCCTCTTTTTCCAAAGAAAAGAGGAAACGGACCCAAAAAAGAGGAAACCGATCAACAAACTGAGAATATAAAACTTTAACTGCAAAAATCAGAAAAGGACCCAAAAAAATGAGGAAACGGACCCAAAAAAAGAAGAAACCGATCAACAAACTAAGAATTTGAAACTTTTTAGAAAACCGGAAACGGACCCAAAAAAGAGGAAACGAATCAAATGTAAATATAGCGGAAACCGACCCAAAATATTCGGAAATCCCTCAACACTTTTCAGTTTTGGAGGGATTTCCGATAATTCTTGAAAAAAAGAAGGAAACGGACCCAAACTCACTTTTGGGTCCGATTCCGTGTTGAACGCCTCCATAGCACCGATTTTGTGGTGTTGGATTGTTTTAATCTTTAAACTTAGAGTCCTTGGTTTTATGGATAAAAGATAACAGCACTGTAACTAAGACTTACGTGTGCCAGTATGGGCCTAGGATCACCGAGTGAAACGTAGTGAACGAGGCGTGGAGATGCAGGGCAAGGGCGTATACAGAAATAATTCTAGGGGGGAGGGGGGCGAAATTTGCGCAAAGCGAAATTTTTTTTCCCACCCCCCTAGGAGTTCCTGGGGGAAGGGCAAAATTTGAATTGTAAATTCAAAACTTTTGGCTTCTTAAATCACGCATGTTTAAGATACTTTAAAGGTATACACATACAATCCAATTACCTTGCATGTACTATACTTAATCTCTCCTTCAAACAAAACTATAGCAGAAAAAAGTAAATTATTTCTAAAAACTCGACTTACTGTTATGTTTATAGCAATAATTAAACTGGAGATAGTAACATACAGGGGCGTAAATAAGGATTCTGTAGGGAGGGTTGAAAAAGGACAGATAATGTTACCTTTTCTCTTGAAGTTATTGAATTAATGATTGATCTAAACAACATATATAATCTAAATTCAAATTCGATTTTAAAGAAAACTCTCCCCCCACACCCACAATGTTTACCTGTGAACTGCACATGCGCACACGAGCTTGGATATTTTTGCCTTACCTTCAGTCTGAAGTCAAATATAATACTTTCCGACATCGAGACCAGCAAAAACATACCTAATTAACTCGTGTAGCATCTCCAACGGATCCTCTAATTCAAGTTTCTGTTTCCCGTTCGCCGACATACTAGGATATCGTTTCCTGGCTGCCCAATTCCTGCCGCCGTCATCACAATCACAGTTTCCTCCTTTCACGGGTACTGCATAGGGGGATGCTCGTGAACTTTTAGCGCTCATATAGCTTCGAGCCTTCCTACAGCTGGGTACCAGATCAGTGGTGTAGTCCAGGTGGGGGAGGGATTTGCCCCCTCCATTATCAAAAGACACAGCCTCAAAATTTAATTTTAAATTATCTTTAATATTTTGCACTAGGTTGTCAACATCCTTACGGATAAGTTTTGTTTCGTTTTCTGACAAGAGGAGAACATTTTCTTTCGCAGGCATGTCTTGTTTTGAAGAAATATTGACGCCTGACGGAAACTTTTTGAAACAAAGATCGTTTAGTGTTTACGCAGAAGTGTGTGTTTTCAGTCCGCCTGTGCGCAGGCGAGTGAAGGGCTAGTTCCAACACACCGGCGGTCCGAGCCAAATGGGGGATCATTTCTGAAAGATTTTGTAGACAATATATTTAACGATTTTATATTTACTTTGCAGAACGAAAGAGAATACGCTTTAATGTTCAATTTTGGGAAGCAAATAAGTTGTTTTAATAAAATTGAAATTAAGATTTATTTTTTTCGGAGCAGAGCGTTATTTTTTTTAATTTCTTTAAATCCCTTTTCGTTATACATTTCTTTTATGTTCATATGTAAGCAGGATTCTAAACTATAAATAATTGTGTATACAAAAATATTTGTTCATCCTCCCCCGATCCCCCGTCGCATGCCCGTAGCCAAGTCTAGTGGAGGTTGTCCACATTTGCCCTCTCTTTTCTCTCACCCCCCCCCCCCCTTCTCCCTCCTCTCCCACGAATTTGATGGATAAATAGTTCCATTTCTTCAGCCTTTTTGTCCCTGCGCTACGAACCATATGAAGAGAAAAACTAATGTGAAATAGTGACAAATATTCAAATTTTCTCTTCTTTTGTGAATTTATGTGATCAAATTTACATTTTATGGTTACACAGAATCTGGAACACCACACGGCCAACAGGCCCAGCCAGGTGGGGTAGCGGAGTAATATTTACGAAAAGCCGGTACTGTACTTTGAAATGATAGATCGAGATGGCGTACTACGCATTTTTACGCAAAGGGCCTAGAACTTTGTAGAATTTTAAGTACAGGCTTAAACGAAGTAAACTAAATTAACTTTAATCCAATTCTCTTCTGGTTTCAATTAGAGGATGAATTGATCGATTAACTTAGTTCTCTTCTAGTTTCAGTTAGAGGATGAATTGATCGGATATATTAGTTATCTTCTAGTTTCAGTTAAAGGATGAATTGATAGGATATCTTAGTTCTCTTCTGGTTTCAATTAAAGGATGAATTGATCGGATATCTTAATTCTCTTCTAATTTCAGTTAGAGGTTGAATTGATCAGATATCTTAATTCTCTCCTAGTTTCAATTAAAGGATGAATTGATTGGATATCTTAATTCTCTTCTAGTTTCAATTAAAGGATGAATTGATCGGATATCTTAGTTCTCTTCTGGTTTCAATTAAAGGATGAATTGATCGGATATCTTAGTTCTCTTCTGGTTTCAATTAGAGGATGAATTGATCGGATATCTTAATTCTCTCCTAGTTTCAATTAAAGGATGAATTGATTGGATATCTTAATTTCTCCTAGTTTCTATCAGAGGATGAATTGATCGGATATCTTAGTTCTCTTCTGGTTTCAATTAGAGGATGAATTGATCGGATATCTTAGTTCTCTTCTGGTTTTAATTAGAGGATGAATTGATCGGATAACTTAGTTCTCTTCTGGTTTCAGTTAGAGGATGAATTGATCGGATAACTTAGTTCTCTTCTGGTTTCAGTAAGAGGATGAATTGATCGGATAACTTTAATTCTCTTCTGATTTCAGTTAGAGGTTGAATTGATAGGATATCTCAGTTCTCTTCTGGTTTCAATTAAAGGATGAATTGATAGGATATCTTAGTTCTCTTCTAGTTTCAATTAAAGAATGAATGAAGTAGGATGAATTAATAAGCTAGTTATCTCCTGGTTTCAGATACAGAATGAGCGGAGCAGGACGAATTGCTGGACTACCCAGTTCTCTTCGGGTACATTCTCTCCGCCTAGTTCCAGGAGAGGAGATTAAGTCATCTCTCCTCAGGTCGGTCCTTAAATCTTTGTTTTGTATTTGGATATTTGGAATGGGTACATTTGGTCAATTACTACATTTGGTCAATTTACATTTGGTCAATTACTAAGATTGGTCAACTGTTACAAAACATCAGCTGATACATTTCATCCAACTACATCTGGTCAACTGATACAAACACATATAAAGGAACTGAGTTTTTGCCACAAACTCCGATTTTCTAACCCAGGAGTTTTGGAACCCGATGTCGTAGACTTTTGATATTTTAAACTATGAATTTTGTTGTATCAATTAGTCTAAGTCTGAGATATCAAAGGTTTACACAATCAGATTGTGAAGATATAAGGATTGAAATGTGAGTTTGTGGCAAAAACTCAATTCCTTTGGTCAACTTTGATAACAGGGTGTCTACGTTCATACATATATATTTAGATATCGTATATGGTACAATTGTACATATAAAACTGACAGACAACAGACTTCCCAGTAGTTTAGTCTCCTCTGAGACCAAACATGAACTCTTTGCAGCTAGCTCGAGTATAGTTTTGGAGAGATATCTGTGAACCTTCCTGTCTTAAACTCCTGCGACCTGGCCGGCTGGGATTTGGATCAATGTAACGCTCTGCAACCACTTCCTGCAGTTTAGTTCTTGCCAAGCTGTCCTCTTTCTTGAAGCCATTGACGATTCTTCACAAATTATATTTAGTTCTAATCGTGTTTTTCTATCTACCATTTAATGACTCCACTCCATTGATGATTCTTCACAAATTATATTTAGTTCCAATCGTGTTGTTCCATCTACAGTTCCATGACTCAACTCCATTATTTGTGGTGTTGCTCTGGGCTAGAATTGACTGATAAATGTCTCATATTGGAATGGGAAACAAAGGTGGTCTGCGCTCTCCTCTCCTATTAAATTTGCCAATGTAGGTATTCTCAAGGTAGCTAATGAAATTCAAAACATATTCATAGTCCTCATGGTCAGCCAGTTTATCTTAAATAAATGACTCAAAGGCATAAACCACATCATCTGGCGGAACCATGCATAAAGTGTAAATCGGATCTAGTAGAACCTGAAAAAACTCATTTTCATCAAAGAGGTTCAAACACCCTTTGTCACCAACATTGGTAAAAACGTTGTTCTTCCAATGGAAATTGCAACCGCCAACTTCTGTTACAGGCAATTTAGACTTAACAGACTTAATCACAGCCTGCTCAAAGTCAATGTTTATTGTGCGAGAAGTATACTGCAGCTCAAGTTTCAAGGTTTCTAATGCATACTCTTATATACACTGTCTTAATAGAACAGGGGGAACAGCTTATCATGAGATGATGCAAATACTACATAGATCTGTGAGAAGTCCCGTGGCACAGTTGAAAAGGTTTCAGAGTTTTTCAGTATATTTCTGCCAAAGTCAGGCATGAATATTAGGACTACATGATCAGAATCAGCTGGAACACACTCAGCTCGAAGCAAAAATAGTTCTCCAGAGTCTAAATGTTTGTTCTGGTCAATCATGTTGAGAATGTCATCAGCAGAGGTAGGCAATTTGGCTTCACCAGTTTCCTTCTTCCTGGAATACAGTTCTAATATTTTCTTATTAAGGTTTTTATGAAGTGTTCTTTCTTTTTAGATATGATCAATGTGCATACATTGCTCTATAAATCCATTGTTCGATGGTGCTCATCCTCGACATGGATAATACTGTTGCCATTTAATCGGTCTGGAGGGTGTTGGCCAGCTCCGCCATTACTGCTCTGCAGGATAGGGTCGGGTTCCTCTACATTTTTAACGGCCTCCTGCTCCGCCATTTTAACTCTCCTTTCAACCGACTTACTTTAGCGATTGTGAATATTCTTAACGATTTTGATAAATGTAGCATCATTTCTCTCTATCGTGGAAGCAGTTGCAGTATATCCCAGTGAATCACGCAGCCTACAAACCAAGAATTTGCACACCAGTCTCACTCTCACGTTTAAACTTGTGCCCAAAGTTCTGACGATCTACCAAAATGTTCTTTTTCCTGCTGGACAAGATGAAATTAGCCTGAGCCCAGTTTTCCATGTTGAATCTGAGAACTAACTGAAATCTTAAGTTGTTGCAAAATTTGTGTGCCAATATTCGCGGATTTTTTATGCTGATTCTCAAGATGGGAATCATGCTTTCAAACATGAAAGTTGACCAAATTTTAGGCCATTGTCACAGTTGACGAAATGTATTTATTGACGAAGTGTCAAATTGACGAAATGTAAATTGCCCAAATGTAATTAAGGTTGACCAAACGTAAATTGACGAAATGTAAACTGTCCAAATGTAGTAATTGGCGAAATGTAAGGTTGGCCAAATGTAAATTAACGAAATGTAAGCTGACCAAATGTAAATTGACGAAATGTAAGGTTGACCAAATGTAAATTGACGAAATGTAAGGTTGACTAAATGTAAATTGACCAAATGTAAATTGACGAAATGTAAACTGCCCAAATGTAGTAATTGGCGAAATGTAAGATTGACCAAATGTAAATTGACGAAATGTAAGGTTGACGAAATGTAAGGTTGACCAAATGTAAATTAACCAAATGTAAGGTTGACCAAATGTAAATTGACCAAATGTAAGGTTGACCAAATGTAAATTGAATTAATGTATCCACTCCGGATATTTTTACATGAATAAGTAAAAGCAACAGAACACTTACGTCAATCCTTACATCTTCAGAACCTGATATGTGTAAACCTTTAATATTTCAAATTTTGACTATTTGAATTTACATAATTCACAGTTGGAAAAATTATTAGTCTTCAACTTTATGCTACAAATAAATAGGGATTTGAAAATTGAGTTTGTGTCAAATGTTCTGTACCTTTTGTTTAAAATAATCATTTTTAATAATCTAGCAGTAAAACTTTAATATGGTCGTCTTGGGATTTATGTGTGTCCAAACTTCTATATATATACTTTGCTTGTTTGTCTGTCTATCTTTCTGTCTGTTTGTTTGTTTGGTAACCAATAAACGTCAAAATTAAAAATAGCTTAACCTATCGGGCCTAAATTTTTTGTGGACCTCTTGTAACCCCAGGGAAGATTTATGGATGATCGAATTTTCACAAATTTAATTGCCTCTTAGAAAATTTGATTTTTGAAATTATTGAAAATTCACGAAATTTTTTTATGAAATCCGCGAAATTTTTGTTGTTGTTTTTGTTCTACAATGTAAACAACGAGAAAATGTTCACAATTGAAAAAGAAGATGGGCGTAAAGCGCCCCAAAAAGCCTAGTATATATAAAAATTTGAAAATTAACGTCACTTTAGATGACAAGAAATGTAAAATATTTTAATCAGCTTTCCAAAAAATGTTAACCACATTCCAAAAATCTACAATTTAGAAACGACAAAGATTTTTCTTATCTTTAACTCTAAAAGTGGATTATTTTCAATCCTGGTTTCACTGTGCATATTTTTGTTACGGAAACAGTGTAGGAAATTGTCGGAAATTAACATTTTTTTAAGGTAGAAAAATGCTGATACTTTCCACATTAATGATCAGATCAAAGGTTTAAAGGGTATCTATGCCCTTCCTAAAATGGAGGGTCACTTAAATTTACCATGACAGTCCCTTTAATGTAAGATATTTAAACTCTGTGTACAGGTATGCCATGGAGAATGATCTGAAGGCTCCCTTTATCATGACCTGCGTAGGAAGCGTAACTAAAGCTTCAATCAGATATGCAGCTCAACCTACAGCGGTAAAAATATAGATTTAAATATTCTGATTTTTAATGATTATTTGCTTTATATTAACTATTTTAACTATTCTTTTTCTACTAGCTAGGATGATCTTTTACAGAGGTCGGAATTAATGAATAGCGAGCATTAGTTGAACTTCAGAAGTAAAGTAGATAGTATGGATTATTCTTACTCCAGGTTATGTTAGAATAGTAGATAGACTCTTACTTCAGGTTATGTTTAGGATAGTAAGGTTGACCTTACTCCAGGTTATGTTTAGGATATTAGGATTGATCTTACTCCAGGTTATGTTTAGGATATTAGGATTGATCTTACTCCAGGTTATGTTTAGGATAGAAAGATTGATCGTACTCCACGTTATGTTTAGGATAGTAAGGTTGACTTTACTTCAGGTTATGTTTATGATAGTAATATTGATCGTACTCCACGTTATGTTTAGGATAGTAATGTTGACCTTACTTCAGGTTATGTTTAGAAGAGTAGGATTGATCCTACTCCCAGGTTATGTCTAGGATATTAGGATTGATCTTACTTCAGGTTATGTTTAGGATAGTAGGATTGATCCTACTCCAGGTTATGCTTAGGATAGTAAGATTGATCTTACTCCAGGTTATGTTTAGGATAGTAGGATTGATCTTACTCCAGGTTATGTTTAGGATAGTAAGGTTGACTTTACTTCAGGTTATGTTTAGAAGAGTAGGGTGGATCCTCCTCCAGGTTATGCTTAGGATAGTAGGATTGATCTTAGTCCAGGTTATGTTTAGGATAGTAGGATAGATCTTACTCCAGGTTATGTTAAGGATAGAAGGATTTATCTTACTCCAGGTTATGTTTAGGATAGTAGGATAGATCTCACTCCAGGTTATCTCTAGGATAGTAGGATAGATCTTACTCAAAGTTGTGTTCAGGAAAGTAAGGTTGATCTTGAAGAAAAGATGGAGATTTGCTCCCTGGTTGGAACCCTAGGAGCAGGAGGTCATCTTCATATTGTTCTTGGTAATTTTTTATCCAAATATTTTCAACTCTCAAAATTGGTTTCAAATAACCAACAGTATGTGAACTCAAACTCGGAGATTTGTTTTATCAAGTTTTAAGATTATATATTGAAATCGTAACTCTTTTGAAAAATTCTATTTTTTTGATTTTTAAAACGAATTTTCAAAGGAGAAAAATACCCACCGCTATTAAAGCATCTTTCAAAATAAATAAAGAATCACACCTTTTATCAGAAATTGCATGGAGATAAAGCATACATATTTTTGGAAAATTTATATCTTATATTTATTTTTGAATTTTAGGAAGAGAGGATGGATCTACCGTTAGTGGTCATGTTATGGGTAATCTTTAAATAATCTGATATTTTTTTCAATAATATATGTATTCAAACCTCCTCTCTTTCAAAATACTGTATATATAATACTTTTCAATATTTTGGTCTTATAAAGATGGAATTACCTCTGTCTTTTATATTAATTTTACAAAGAAATTAAAGAATATTATTAGGAATTAAAAAGTATGTATATTTCAATCAACTATCTACATATGTTTTATTTATTGGTTATTAATTATTCATTGAAAGATAATGATACATTCATGTATCATAAAAACATTATTTAAATAACACAATTCTAATTTTATTTTCACTTTCAAAGATATTGAGTCTTTGTCACAAATTCTGATTTTCTAAGCCCTATATCCTTGCAACCCAATGTCATAAACCTTAAATAGTTCAAACTAGAACTCTGTTAGATCAGGTTATCTAAGTTTAAAATACACAATCAGGTTGCAAAGATATAGAGATGTAAAATTTTTAGTTTGTGGCAAATCGACTGAAGTCCTATTTTAACATTTTTAAATTCATATTTAAAGAGACCTTAGCATTTAGTTTATTGTTTTGAAACCAAAAAAAAACTAAATTGTCTTTTTCTTTAGGAAATCTTGTCGTTTTTACGACAGCTGAGATAATGATAGGGGAGTGTTCAGATGTCGTCTTCAACAGGACATTCGACGAAAGAACAGGGTTCGATGAACTCAGCGTAGTAAAAAGGGAATAATCGGGAAACTCTCAAAAAAAGATAAAATCGACGAACAATTAAGTTTCATAATAAATTTTTTTGTCAAATAAAGCATTTTCCCCAATCATTATAATCAATAATCATTAACTCATAACGATAATTTTAATCCGCAGATTAAAAATAATTTTTCTTCTGGTCAATGTCGTCTTTATTGACGATCATCATAATCCTCATAGTCATAGTCAGGACTGTCTTCAGCAACCTCTTTATAATCAAGCTCTATACAATCAAATCAGTTTAGCTTTTTAATGAAATATGCAGTTAGACGAAAGGCGGATACATCATAACTCTAAATTAAAATTAATCTATAAGCGATAAATTTGTTGTAAAAGTTAATTTTGACCAAATTTGTCCGTTTTTATCTTTAACTTTTCCATTTATTAAAACTGAATTTTGTTGTGTCTTAAATTAGCATCAGCTAGAATATTTGAAGAAGGAAATTGAGCTTTTCAGAAGTTTTGAAGGTTAAAGTTTTGTAATCTTAAATGATAAATGTTTGCTAGAATGGTTCCTAGAGCAGCCAGGTCTTCTCTTGCTTCAGAGAACTCCCCCTCCTCCATACCCTCTCCTACATACCTAATATGTGCCAAATATTTAAATTAGGAAAATTATATTTAAGGTTCATAAACCAAAATCAACATCTACATAGAAATTAGATCAAACTTTATATTTTTCAGATTATTTTTTTTCAGAAAAAAAAAATTTAGAAAAAAAATCTTACAGGGTTTTCCCACAATGATGACCTAAATGACGACCTGATACTCTGTGAAAGTATCTAATTGAAGGTCGCGTTTAATGTTCTGTCTATGAATGTACGAAAAAAAAATAAAAAATATATTCCGTACAGTTGTCTCAGAAGTCTCATCTATTGTGGGTAACTCTGTACCTGTATTTTATGTTTTTACTAATACTAATTTTTTTTCGCTGCGCGCTTACCAGAAGACAAAAGCGCGCTTTGCGTACATGAGATCAAACTTGTGATCCAACCGTGCCCACGCCTCACATACTGCTGTAGTGTTGGTCAAAGAACATACTGCTCTTTGCACCTACGGGATAAAAGATATTTTTATCTTTTTATTTCAATAAATTGTTGTTTTTCGTTATTTCACTTTTCTATCCAACTTTCCATCATTTATCTTTTATCCTTATTTTTCCTAGGTCTTACTTTCTTCTTACTTTGTTCTTACTTTGCGTCCTCTTCTCTTTACTGTGTACATTTTTGTATTAGCTTAAGCATAGTCGGGTAGGCTTTTTTAGCTTCTCCCGGTATTGACAAAACTGCATAATATAATGTTTGCTTCTATTAATTTTCATTGTTCGTTTCTAAATTTCACCATTCGACTTCCCAAATTTTGATTATAATTTCTTGTTTCGTATGGATTTCATGTCCGAATTCTCCCCCCCCCCTCAGGTTCTTCTCCCCTCTCCCTTCCCCCCATCCTCTGTGTGCATCTTCTCTATAAGTAAACCCTTACACTAGGACAGACATGTTGAGGATGCCAAGTTCTCTATTGCTTATAGTAAAAATAGATTTTTTCCAGGGGGGATGATAGTTCTCTACCCGTGTGCTCAGTTAGCTGTACTGTACTACAACTGTCTACTAATATTGATATACAATAGGCCTGAATCAACTTATAATAAACAAATATGCAGTACGCTCTCAGTATAGTTTATGGCCTATAAAATTAGTAAAGGATAGCGTCCATCATCACTATACACTATTACCTCGTTGATTTTTTTCTAACAAAATTTTTGTTTTTATTTTTGTGCTTAGATTAGATTAGTTTCTAAAATACCTTAGCCAGGTCTCCTCCTGGTACTACAGTAGGAGGCTAGTAGTTTATCCCAACCTAAATATTACCTTAGAATGAAGATCGAATTTTGATGGAGACAAATATTTAATATTTCAATTATTCATAAACCTTCCTTGGGGTCCCTAGATGTCCCACAAAAAATTTGGGCCTGATCGGTTCAGCCGTTTTGACGTTTATTGGATACAAACAGACAGACAAACATACAAACAAACAGACAGACAAGCCAAATTTATATATAGACTAGAAATTCAAGGCGCTTTGCGCCCTTCTTTCTAGGCTTTTAGGGCGCTTCGCGCCCATCTTCTATTTAAATTAGGAACATGTTCGAATTGTTTACATTTCAAAACAAAGATGAAAAAAGTTTTGCGGATTTTTAAAAGAAAATTCGCGGATTTTCAAAAATTTAAATTTTTTTCAAACTTAAAAACCTCTTAAACACAAATTTTTAAAATTTCAATCATTCATAAACCTTCCCTGGGGTCCCTAGATGTCCCACAAAAAATTTGGGCCCGATCGGCTCAGCTGTTTTGACGTTTATTGGATACAAACAGGCAGACAAACAGACAAACAGACAAGCCAAATTTATATATAGATGTCTTGAAAGTTATTTGAAAATATTATAAATAAATATCTATTTTGATATTTAAATCCTTTAAATGTTAGAAAGGCGAAACAATTATATAAAAAGGTTTGAATAGTCCTGATGGCATAGATATTTATCATTGATGAATAAATTATTTTTTAAAATTAAAAAAAAGGGTTGACTCTAAAATGTTCATAATAAAGGGACTGTAAGCGTAATTTCAAGTGACTCTCCATGCAAAGATGTTAAAAACTGATTATTTCCAATTGTGGTTTCCTACGAAAGTGAGTTGCGCATTTACACAGCAAGAAAACATAGGAATTATCAGAATCAAACACTTTTGAACCTAGATGAACGACAATATCTTCCATAATATTGATTTGATTATTTGATCTTGTTGTACCTAAATACTAATTTTTGGAGTTGGAGTTTTTTTAATGGGTCTTTTTCTTCTCTTGCATAGGTATAAATTTTATACCTAATAATACCAAATTTAGCGAATAGCGAAAAGTAGTTGAGCTACGCTGCATAAGTTCAACCACTTCTCTCTAATTTGTTCAATAGTACAGCGAAACCCTTAATAACGAATACATCGGAAGAATTTATCAAATGTCGTCTTGACAATTTTTCACTGAGTTTTATACTATGTTACGTAAATTTCAGTATTTGAGAAAATAAATAAATAGCCATGAATACGCGGAAACAGTTTTAAAGAGTTCCAAATAATCATTTAATTAAAAAACTAAATATCTGCAACATTCCATTATCAGAAAGTGAAGAATACGACATTTGATGAATTCTTTCGATGTATTCGTTATTAAGGGTTTCACTGTAGTAGAAGAGCAGTATATTAGAAGCTGTAGTATACCTGGGAACTACATCTCCTCTATATAGCAGACATATTGCCATATATTTTCCATTTCTTGGATCACATTTTACCATCTGGCTACCGGGCTCAAAACAAGCAGTAGTTATATCATCAACAGTAGACCGCTCATGAAAGGCCTGGAAAACAGCGCAAGATTTTTTTTTAAATTTTAGATTCTAACATTTTTTTGTTACCTTGGATGCAGATGTTATAGGAGCGTAGGTGACCAAAGGGAAGTGTATTCTGAAAAAGAAGTTTTATTTACGATTTCATTAATTTATGGCGCTCTGACAATAGCTCTCCTACGTCATGCACAAAGGGAGGAAGACCAACCACCACATTTTCTCGTCCGAGCCACATTCCCTTCATTTTCTCTTCCGAGCCACCTCAAAATCCTCGTCCTTCCAAAATATTTCTTTAATGTGTCTAATCCTCCATAATGAAACAATTTTTTAAGAATCGGGCCACGTTAGGGCATGAATGAAATATTGAATTTTTGTAAAAAAAATTCAATTGTATTAAAGTTTTCAAGTTTAATGTCCTTAAAAATGTTATTTTTTTTTACGCGCATTTTCAGATATTCCTGTTGTGATCGTAGAATGCCGCAAATAATTCCGAGTTTATATAACTTTAATCTTTTTTGTTAATTATGTTGAAAACCATAGAGTTTTCGCGGGTGGTTTTCTGGGGAAAATGATAGGCAGAGGTATGCCAAATTTGCTATTTATTTTTTATCATGAAGGTTACCCATTATATGGAGGCAGAAGAGATTTAAATTTTACCTAAATAAAGTTAGAGTTCATTCTCATGGGTTTGAAGATTCCAACATGATATAATCATTACATAGTCTATCCATATTTTATACCCTAACGTGACCAGATTAAAAAAATAGTTTTATCTTCGAGAATTGGAAACTTTAAAACACATCATAATCGAAGGACGAGGATTCCGAGGTGGCCATGGGACAAGAAAATTATGTGAATGTGACTCGGACGAGAAATTGTTGTGGCTGGCATTCCTCCCCTCCATGCACTCAATGACCTTTAATAGTCCAATGAGAATGAGACAAAGCAAATGTGCAATGCAAACAGACTCATTTCACTAATTATAAATAATTTAATAATTTCTAATAAAGCTATTTGCTTTATAACAACACAAATGCACTTCATTATAACTTTAATGTCGTCTACAGTTCTCTGGTTATCACTGTATGTAATTTAAGAACTCCAAAGCATTTGTTTTTAGTTTTATTTTTTTAATGGTAATTAATTAACAAATTTCTCATCGATTTGTGCGTGAGAGCTTCCAAACCTTTGGACCATTGCATGTGGCCTAGGAATTCAGTCTGTCCTGGATGGATGGTTTAAACTAAGTAAGTAAGATCGAGTAACGTATTGAGTGAATTACATAGAGCATATGACCACAGACATGATCTCCACTATTTTTACCTGGGACATCGTCCACCCCTGTTACCTGGGATAAGGAACCAGATTGTGCTGGAATTCTCCCAGATCTACATTAAGAGCTCCCTCAAACCTAATCCAACATGGGGTACCAATCGTCAAGAATCATGATTTGTTTTATTCATTTCTTTCATGTCGCTTTTTTGTAGTAACAGTTATAGCTTTTGTGAATCGGCGTATTTTTCCTTTTTTTATTGCACCAATTTGGTCCCGATCGGTTTGGCCGTTTTGCCTTTTATTGGATACAGACAAGCTAAATATATAAGATTGAAGTTTAAAGAACTTAAAACTGCATGCTTTTTTCAATATTATACTTGAAACTAAATCTTTAAAGAGA